GGGGGGGGGGGGGAGTGTAAAAATGAAGTCACCAAAAGGCTTACCACGGCTTTCCGAATAAAAAATATAATATTAATGTAAATGTCTAATATTATATTATCGTCAAACTAGAGAAAAAAAAAATATAAGTTCACATAGTTTTAAAATGAACAACATTATTATAAACATACAATACATTTTTTCATCATTGTAGGTACAACGTGTGTTATAATTTATAATTTCCAAAATAAATCGACGTTTTTTAAAACGAACGTTTTTGTGAGAGAAAAAATACCCGTATTCTTGCATTAGCTATGCTCCTCACCGAGCCAACGTGGGGACCCGTCCGGTGATAAATATCGGAAACGTGCCCAAGACCCTATGCGGTGCATTATGTTATTGTCCATTGTGACCTTCTTCTCATCATCCCAAAGAATTCAAGGACCTTTCGGCTATATAGCACAATGTATGTGCGTTATATTTGTCGACGCCATACAAGGTCAATAATAATATAATATAAACACACTAAATGTGTGGTTTCATATATCTGTTTGTGGAATATGCCATATACGTGTATAAATATGTAGATATATGCATTGTACATGCGTAAATATTCAAAAAAAAAATATAACTGATAAGATAGAATTTTTTGCTGACAGATATCATTTTATCAGAGACCTCAAATTTGTGTGTGTGAAATACTGAATTGTAAACAGGTTGACAATTTTAATTATGTTTTATCCGCTGTNTTGTGGATTGTGAGATATATATGTATATGTGCATAGCACATACACATATATATATATATATATATACACCACATACGTGTATAAATATGCAGATATATGCATTGTACATGCGTAAATATTCAAAGAAAAATATCAACTGATAAGATAGAATTTTTTGCTGACAGATATCATTTTATCAGAGACCTAAAATTTGTGTGTGTGAAATACTGAATTGTAAACAGGTGGACAATTTTAATTATGATTCATCCGCTGTAAACAAAACAGCTCAGGTCACAGCCGAAAATTTGCCATGAAAATATTATCGTTCACGTGTAGTCACGCCGTCTCTACCACACTAGGTACTTATATTATACACATTGAAAACCGGTTTTTTTTTGCCGCAGACCCTCGTGCTTCGCACCCCATGCGGAGAAGAGACCATCGAAATTACCTGTATTTTTTTATGAACTGGCAACAGTGGAAGATCAGTTTTTCACATTGCTACCTGTCNGTGTAGTCACGCCGTCTCTACCACACTAGGTACTTATATTATACACATTGAAAACCGGTTTTTTTTTTGTCCCTACCTACACCAATGTTGTCAAGGTTACCTAACGACCTACCCTGAGTATATTGTGACTGCGTGTGCTTGTGTCCTTTATCATTCGTATTTCGAAGCTTCTTCAGGAACGTTGATATTTTTAAGAAAATAAACACTAGTATTTAGTGCGAAATTTCGACGGGACGACAACCATTTCAATCATAATTACAGG